TCTACTCCATTCCATTCCTCTATTCTATTCTATTCTATTCTATTCTATTCTATTCTAATCTAATTCTAATTCTAATTCTAATTCTAATTCTAATTCTAATTCTATTCTATTCCATATTTTCTATTCCATTCTACTCCATTCCATTTCTCTATTCTATTCTATTCTATTCTATTCTATTCTATTCTATTGCCAAATGTTCAGTCATCACTGAAGTCTAGGAAATCTTGAAAACTGCCTCTTCTTTTTTCACAGGGGAAACACACACACACACACACACACACACACACAAACACACACACAAAAAACAAATCTATGCTGGAGAAAGAACAAATACATTTTTGTGTTCTTTTTTTTTGGGGGGGGGGGGAGGTCCCGAGTGTTTCTTCCAAAACGTTGAGGTGTGGATGAAAACTCTCTCCCTTGGTGCCCAGTTTTGCTTTTTCAGGTTACAGCACACAAACGAATGCTTTGATGTCCAATCACGTGGTTTGTCAAAACAAGAGGAGGAAGCGCCGGGCAGAGCATAGGAGGGAGATTGTAGGATCAAAGCAAAGCAGCTGGGTGTCATTTGCATCTTTGCAAGGCCTTTTTCCGATGTGGGAAATGCAGGAGTGAGGGTTGAAGGTGAATCGAGGAAGGGAAACGGGACATGAAGTCATGACAGTTCTCGCCACTCAAGATGTCTCCAAGACGGAGGTTCATAGGCCTGGAATGGACATTGGAGCTTTTCTACTCCAACCATCCCCTCCCTCCCATGCCATCCAAGGCAGGAGTCCTTCTATTTTTGTTTCTTGTTTTATCTTTTAATGATCCTATAATTCCTTACATCAGGGTGGAGTCGGGGCAACTGAATGGAGCTGAGTATTTACTGGCCGGATGCCCTTCCTGTCGCCAATGCGGAGTTCACGGCAGATAATTACTCTTTGTGCCAAGAGAGAGAAATATCTGCCGCTACCTAGAATCAAACTCACAGCCTCCGGATTGCGAGGGGAGAGCTCCACCTCTAGGCCACTGCATCGCTTGCAGGAATCTTTATATCATCCTGGACAAATGGTTGGCCAGTCTCTTTTTGAAAACCTCCAGTGATGGTGCACTCACAACTTCTTGAGACAAGCTGTTCCATTGGCGAATTGTTCTTACTCTCAGAAATTTCTCCTTCATTGCACACTGTATCTCCCTCTTACAAGCTTCTTGTCCTGCCCTCAGATGCTTTAGAACAGAACAGAACAGAACAGAACAGAACAGAACAGAACAGAACAGAATAGAATAGAATAGAATAGAGAAGGAATGGAATGGAATGGAATGGAATAGAATAGAATAGAATAGAATAGAATAGAATAGAATAGAATAGAATAGAATAGAATAGAATAGAATAGAATAGAGAAGGAATGGAATGGAATGGAATGGAATGGAATAGAATAGAATAGAATAGAATAGAATAGAATAGAATAGAATAGAATAGAATAGAATAGAATAGAATTCTTTATTGGCCAAGTGTGATTGGACGCACAAGGAATTTGTCTTGGTGCAAATGCTCTCAGTGTACATAAAAGAAAAGATAAATTCATCAAGACTCATAAGGTACAACACTTAATGATACTCATAGGGTAGAAAGAAGCAATCAAATCATACTAGGAAACAGTCAATATAGATCGTAAGGATACAAGCGACATGGTTGCAGTCATACAGTCTCAAGTGGGAGGGGATGGGTGATAAGGAGGGATGAGAAGATTAACAATAATAGTAGTGCAGACTTTGTAAATAGTTGGACAGTGTTGAGGGAATTATGTGTTTAGCAGAGTGATGGTGCTCGGGGAAAAAACTCCCCTTTTGTCTAGTTGTTCTGGTGTGCAGTGCTCTATAGCGTCATTTTGAGGATGGGAGTTGAACCAGTTTATGTCCGGGATGTGAGGGGTCTGTAGGTATTTTCACAGCCCTCTTTTTGACTCGTGCAGTATACAGGTCCTCGATGGAAGGCAGGTTGGTAGCAATTGTTCTTTCTGCAGTCCTAATTATCCTCTGAAGTCTGTGTCTGTCTTGTTGGGTTGCAGAACCAAACCAGACAGTTATAGAGGTTCAGATAACAGACTCAATAATTCCTCTGAAGAACTGGATCAACAGCTCCTTGGGCAGTTTGAGCTTTCTGAGTTGGCTTTTTTGTGTTTTTTTTAAGGACGTTTTTGATTGGAGAACAAGTCAACTCTTTAGAGAGCAAATCAACTCTCTCTTTCCTATGATAACATCTCAAGTATTGGAAGGTGCTATCAGATCTCCTCTAAGCCTTTTCTTCCTTAGGCTAAACATACCCAGTTTCCTTAGCTGTTCATTGTTCAACTCATCCTGTACACCCCCGATCATCTTTGTTGCTCTTCTCTGCTCTCTTTCTAGGAACTCAACTTGATTTATTTTTTGTATAATGGTGACCAGAACTTTCTTTACTTGATACTTTCCTGGAAAACAAAAATTGAATATCTTGGTGGTCATCTGGTTGTTCCTTCCTTTGACGTTTTTGAACACATCCTGCAGATTTCCTTCCTTCCTTCCTTCCTTCCTTCCTTCCTTCCTTCCTTCCTTACTTACTTACTTACTTACTTACAGTACAGATGAATTAAATCTGTCCAGATTTATTTTCTTTGAACTTGAACATCTCCCATTAGCTGTAGCTACACTTTGATATTTAAATTAGCTGTATCCTGATGGGAAATGCATTTGGTTTCCCAGGGATGCTGCTGATGAATTTACCCTGTTCAGTTCTGGAGCTGTCACTCCAATGTAGCCATACAATTAAACACACACACACACACACCAGACAGAGAGGAGGGAAGGACAGAGGGATGGGGGGGGAGGGAGGGAGGGAGAAAGAGAGAGAGAGAGAGATTAGCAAAATCAAAATTCACATCCTATAACCTGCTTTGGAAATACTGCTCATTTAATTGAATTTTGTCTGAGTGCATAGAGCTTAGCAAACAGATCATTGAATAGTCAGAAAAGGACTACGCTGCGTTTGTACTTGGATTGAGGAAGAGAACTTGGAAATCAAGATAACCTGAGCTGAATTTGGAGTATCTTGGACTGCCTTGTAAGATCTTGAACTTTTGGTGGAGCTTAAGGGGATATCTGGGGAAAATGGCAGGTTTTCCACTGACAGTCATATCTGCAGAGAATGCCTCCAGTCTGCTGATGGCTTGCTCCAGTCCATATTGTTGTCCTCAGCCAACCTGGGACATGTGATATACAGCCACAAAAGATCCTTCATTCCCTCACTCTGATGTTAGCACATCCTGTTCCTCTAGTATCTTTGTAGATACTAAATATTCTATCCTGGTAGAGTGTTTTTCCTGTCTCCATTAATAGGCTGATGGAAATGAGAATTAATGGATAAAGAGATTTTTAAGCCATAGTTCTGACTGAATTTCCTACTTAGACTTTCTTTTCTTTTCTTCCTTCCTTTCTTCCTTCCTTTCCCTCCCTCCCTCCCTCTCTCCCTCCCTCCCTCTTTCTTTCTTTCTTTCTTTCTTTCTTTCTTTCTTTCTTTCTTTCTTTCTTTCTTTCTTTCTTTCTTTCTTCTCCTTTTTCTTTCTCACATATATTGCAATAACAGCAGAAATACATTGAGAGAGAAGTAGGGAATGATGAAGAGGCTAGGTCTAGATAAAAGAAACAAGGATGTTCTAAATACTCTTCCTTTCTATGTTTCTGCAACAGCTGGTTCTTTGTGATCTAAGACGACTTTGAAAACAACAGAAATAAAGAAACTCCAAGCAAATTCTCTAATGCAATCCTCCTCTGGAAAAAAAAAAAAGAGTTTAACGCGTAAGAATGCAAGCCAGCAGTTCTTTCATCTGTATTTATTTTTGCCTTTCCAGGTGCCTTCCTCATCCCTTACAGCCTCTTCCTCATCATTGCAGGAATGCCTTTGTTTTATATGGAACTTGCTTTAGGCCAGTATAATAGAGAAGGGGCTGCTACTGTATGGAAAATCTGCCCATTGTTTAAAGGTAAATCTGAAATCTTCAACCTATTTGGGGTACCGAAGATGTTTCAGCTATCAGTCAGTGGTTTGAGTTAAAGGAGATCTGAGCCTTTATGTATGCACCAACAGAACAGAATATCTGTCGCTTGGGGTTGGACTGTGGGGTCCTTGTTGCTGTCTTGAACTTGGTGATTTTCTTGCAAACATTTCATGACCTAACTAAGGAACTTCATCAGTGCTAGAAGGAAGTGGTGTTGGAGGAGGAGGAGGAGGAGGAGGAGGAGGAGGAGGAGGAGGAGGAGGAGGAGGAGGACGACTCTGGGTCCTTGGTGTTCTCTGAGTTTGGGTGTAAAGTACCATGAAGCTGTATATAAGTTTAAGTGCTATGGCTATTGCTACTTAGAGTGCCAGATTCTTAATTCTTCCAGGTGAACCAACACTGTACAATAGAGATCCTGTTCCTTACACTGAACCACAATAACTCTGTGTCATATTTGTGCCTGGGGCCAAAGAGCAATGATATTTCTTCAATCTCATGAATAAGATGATTCCCAATGAAGTTCCTGTATAATCTTTTTCCTTTGTCCTCAGGCGTGGGCTACGCTGTGATCCTCATAGCACTCTACGTTGGCTTCTACTACAATGTTATCATTGCCTGGTCTCTCTATTACCTGTTTGCCTCCTTCTCCATGGGGGAGCTTCCCTGGGTTCATTGCAATAATCACTGGAACACCCCCAACTGCACTGACCCCAAAGCCAATAATTCTGTATTCTTCAATGTTAGCTCCAAGCTCAAGAATACTCCTGCTGCTGAATTTTATGAGTAAGTCTGAAAGCTCTTCAGGGTTTACTTCATCTATCATTCCTGGATCTATTTCAGCATTTTCCATTTTTGCGGGGTGGGGGTGTATGGATAGCCCTCAATTTACAACAGCTCATTTAGTGACAGTTCCAAGGTACAACAGCACCGAGAAAAAAGTGATGTATGACCATTTCTTCACACTTACGATGGTTGCATGCTCATGTGACCAAAAATTCAGATGATTGGCACCTGACTCGTATTTATGACGGTTGCAGTGTCCCATCATGAGTTTCCCTTTTGAGACCTTCTGACAAGCAAAGTCAAGAGGGAAGCCAAATTCACTGAACATCTGTGTCAAGCTGACTTAACGACTTGAAGTCCACACTTCAGGATTGAGAAACCTTCTGTAGGATTACCTGTCAACTCATAAAATATTTCTATGGTCTTTTTAGAGTTGCCAACAGAAAGGGAGAGGGAAAAGTGGCAGCTTGGAAATCAAAAGTGCATTCCATAAATAGTTTTTCAAAGATAGTAACTAGGTGACTGAAGTTTCTGCCACACAAAATTCTAACTGGAGAGCATGATTGATGACTCTTGGCTATGGATGTGTCCCATTGGAGGATATGAATTATGATACACCCAGGGGGTGGGGGAAAACCAGCATCAAGGGTGACAATGAATGATGTGTCTTAGAGTCGGCTACACCCAGACAGTGCCAGACATGTTAACTCCCAATAAATCCCTTTTAAGTTTTGGAAGTTTGGCTCGAGACTCGTGATTTAATTGGGGTAACCACCAGAATCCTGACATTACTTACTGAATTACAGAAATAGTTAGGGAGAGATTTGTGGATCTCATCTCTCTAATCCTTGCAGTTTCCCATGCTTCCATTAAATCCCCAAAGGGAGACATCATAACAAAATGTTCCCAGGTAGATTTTGAAAGTCAGTGTTGAATAACACAAAGCAACTCCCTAAGTAACATCTCCTATTACCTCCAGCTATAAAGTCACTTTGGATACTCCACCAAGAAAGAGCAAATCAACAAGCTAGAAAGTCTTTCATGGTGGGAGGAAGAAAATGTCTGAGAAACCTCAAAAACAAATGTATTTATATCTACAGATGCATTTATAGATTTCTTGAGTCTGATGTCATTTCTGGCTTGTTTGCTTTGTTTGGTTTCAGGTTTTGCTTATTTTTCTTCATGATGATGCTTTGTTTGTTTGCCATGCTTTGCGGATCCCTTTTTGAAATCAAAAATTAGAAGAGAGAGAGAGAGAGGGAGAGGAAGAGAGAGGGAGAGAGAGAGAGAGAGAGACCATTGAGAGTGGAAGAGAGATTGCAAGGAGAGAAAGAGACAGACAGACAGACAGAAAGAGAGGGAGGGAGAAAGCTGTCTAAAAATAACAGAATGAGAAGAAATGGCATATCAGAGAATGAAAGTGAGTGCACCTATATAGCTTGGCATTCAACCTGTGATGGTACTCCATAGATAGCTTCATACCTTCTAGAAAGGTTATCCAAAACTGTCTTAAGATGAGGACGTTCCTTGGAAATATTTTGACCTTGAGGTCCAACTTTGCTAAATGGATGCCTGGGATCCGTAGACCCCTGCCCTCTCTGTTTTGGAGCTGAGTGTCTAAGTTTATTATTTCTGGCTCCATCCTAAAGACCATGATAGGAAAAACAAAGAGTCCAACCCATGAAGGCACGTCATGTTCTTTTAAATTCTGCTTCCTGTTTAGGCTTCACTTCCTAAAGAGTATGCTTTCAGTATTGGTCACAGAGAGAAATAGAGCCCACCATGGGGAGACAACAAGACACCCATCCTTGTTGCTTATCCTTGCTTGATAAGCAAGACTTATCAAATCTTGCTTATCAAAGTCTGCGAACATCATTCTGATGCATTCTTGAAAGAACCCTGTTGTGTCTCTAGAAATGCTGGAGGATTTTGTCTACCTTTAAGATATATTCTTAAGCAATGCCACCCAACAAAAGATTTTTTGAGATGCAGAGACCAGTTGCTCAAGATCCCTGTGTAGGATTTGAGTCACAGTGTACTGGCCAAGAATAACATCTCCTCAATGCCAAGTTTCTATGGAGGTTCTCAATCATCCAGGTCACAGTTGTCCCAAAGACACTTTTCCAAAAGGCAACTGGACTTTCTTGTTTTTTTTCTCTTGAAAACATTTCACTTCTCATCCAAGAAGCTTCTTCAGTGAAGAAGAACTGAAGAAGCATCTTGGATAAGAAGAAAAAAATGTTCTCAAGGAAAAAACCCAAAAGAGTTCTTATTTTTTTCCTTGAAAATGTTTCACTTCTCATCCAAGAAGCTTCTTCTTCAGTGAAGAACTGACAAAGCTTCTTGAATGAGAAGCTAAATGTTTTCAAGGGAAAAAAAGCAAGAAAGAAAAATGGCTTTGAGACTTCTAAATGTAAGTTCACAATCATAAGTCATACTTAACCTCCTTAACTGAAGAGAATCCCTGCAGTAGAAGATATCTATGCAGAAAATTTGACTTCTGTTGCCTTAAAAGTTCTGCATTAAGCAAATATCCTGGCTATTTATTTGTGCTTCAGAACTTTACAAATTGTACAGACATCTTAGTCAGTGATGGAATTCAAATAATTTAACAACCGGTTCTCTGCCCTAACGATTTCTTCCAACAACCAGTTCACCAAACTGCTCAGAAAGTTAACAACTGGGTTCTTCTGAACTGGTGTGAACTGGCTGAATTCCAACACTGATCTTAGTGGAAAAGACCACAATTCATTGGATTTAATACCGACGATGATCTTTGTAGCATCCAGATCATTGTAGGGACTATCCTAAACTTCTTGGAACTATTTCTGGGGGAAATTCCTCCTCTTTGGAAACTTTGTCAATGAAATGACATGTCACTTCCTGCTCTTTTATTTTCCCTTTCTCTCAAAAGGGGAAGCCCTGACTCTGGACGTGATTTTGCTCATCCCAGTTTGAAGTAGGTGGTACTTTTGCTGCAGGATAGGGACATACAATCACGTTCTCCACTATATGAGATGATCTAATTCTTCCTCTTCTCTCTTTGGATAGGCGGAGAGTTTTGCAAATTAGCCGTGGGATTCATGAAATCGGCCAGCCTCGGTGGCAGCTGGTGCTGTGTCTCTTAGTGGTAGTGATCATCCTGTTTTTCAGCCTGTGGAAAGGGGTGAAGACCTCTGGAAAGGTAGGAGAATGTTTGTTTGTTTTTTAACTTGAAACTTTAAGGTATTGTTTTGATTCCATTTGGATATCCAGAAGCAGTATGGAATTATCATAATATACAATACCAATGATAGGTATTTTCCTAATAAATTAGGATTACCAGATCAAGGTGGTCAAAAGTCCAGATGACCACTCAATGGTGGAAGTCCCAAAGATGCTTTTTCCAAAAGACAACTGGATTTCCTTGTTTTTTTTTTATCTTTGAAATGTTTTGCTTCTCATCCAAGAAGGTTCTTTATTTCTAACTGTTCTTCAAAGAAAAAAAGAAAACCAAGAAAGTCCAGTTGCCTTTTGGAAAAAAGCACTTTTTCAACAGCCATGACCCAAATGGTTGAAAATCTCCCTAGACATCAATGCTGGTAGAATGTTCTTGACAGGTATTAAGTGAATATCACGACTTTTATATCCCAGATATGCAAACTCTACACCAGATATGATTTATTCAAGGGGTGCAAATGGTGTGCTACCTTGGATATAATGCAGGATAAATTATGGAAGGTAAGTTTTTTTGAAGCCATGGAAACTCCCATATCAACCATACTAGACAAGGCAAAACAAATAATCTGGTTCAAGCGATAACAGCTTTCTGTGTTCCTAACAGAGACTTGCATTTTTAATCAACATTTACTGTTGATGGATGGATCCTATTGTTTTAATGTGTTGACCTTACAGGTTGTATGGATAACTGCAACACTGCCTTATGTTGTGCTGTCTGTGCTGCTAATCCATGGGCTAACGTTGCCTGGTGCATATGAGGGAATCAAGGCTTATCTCAACATCGATTTTGGACGATTGAGAGAAGCTCAAGTAAGTCTTCTCCCCTCCTACTTTCTGCTCTCTCAGTTGTTAAATTCCCATTCCAGATACGATTGTAGTTACGATTCTCATGAAGACACCAATGTTCTTCTTTGAACATTTGGTCTCCTCATGAGATTCATAGCTATAATCATTGACTTATTATTATCAAATATCATATTAAAAACCCAGCTTGATTTAAAGATGTCTTATTTATGTTTCTTGATTTGAATATCCCAACAAAGTATTTCAGAAGTAACTAGGACAGTCTGCATTAAAATATGAACCTCTCCAATTCTAGTTTGGATAATAATCTCTCAGACAACCTTATGGTCTAGTCTAATGAAGAGGAGGACTAGGGGTGAAATTAGAAAGGGTCTTCCAGGATTTGAGGAAGGGGTTCAACTATTCTCCAAAGCACCTAAGGACAAGAAGTAATGGGTGAAAGCCAGTGGTAGGATTCAAATTTTTTTACTACCGGGTCTGTGGGCGTGGCTTGGTGGGCGTGGCAGGGGAAGGATACTATAAAATCTCCATGCAGATATTTGCCGGTTCTCCAAACTACTCAAAATTTCCACTACCGGTTCTCCAGAACTGGTCAGAACCTGCTGAATATACCACCTCTGGTGGAAGCTTATCAAAGACAGATTCAACATAGAATTAAGGAGAAATTTGCTGATGCTGGGAAGGATTAAATCAATGGAATGGCTTGCTTCCAGAAATTGTGGGAGTTCCATCACTGGAAGTTTTCAAGAAGAGACTGGGCAGCCATTTGTCCAGAATGGTAGAGGGTCTCCTAGTTGAACAAAGGGTTGGACTAGAAGACCTCCAACCCTGTTATTCTATGTCTTCAGTTGCTTAAATTTATTAAGAGAATGATGATGCATAATATCTTGAATGGACAGAAGCTCATTCCGTGGTTGGAGCAAAGGGGCCAAATGATGAAACACGCCCCCCCTCAATATTGTGTTGCAAACTCTGGCTTTTAAGTTCTTGTGTGCAATGTTGTAACTCAAGTATGAAAGAGGGAGCTTGTGTATGTTGTGACATTGCATTCCACATCTTGTCATTCTGGCATTCTTGTGGTGAGGAACGGCCATTTATGCTTGAAGGTATATGAACGAAGCAATTGATGGTGGATTCTGTAGAAGTGGGGGTTGTATTTTCAGGGAACCTCTAGCAGGGAAGCAACATTAGCAGAGCAGGAGTGTGATGTCTGAAAATGAATGTCATCTTCACAAGGAGGAGAAGCCGTTGCTTCTCAAATCAAGCCTGCCCTGCCAGGAAGAGTGAGTGGCTTATGGGCCATTGTTCCCCAGAAGGAGCTTCCTGCAAACATCTTGGTGTCTGTGGATGTTCTCCAATTGTTTTCTTTTCCTTAGACTATAAATCTACAATTTATTATGTGCAAGCAAGCATCATACGCCATCCCTGTGCCAGAGCAACGTTCATAGCAAGGCGACACTGGAGCTTAGAGGGGAGACCGACTGGCTGGCTGGCACTCCTTGTAAAAACATTTAGTTAAGTAAAAATAGTTTGGGACAGTCACCCTGGGCAGGATGGGTCCCCGGTGAAGTCAATAAATAGCATTAGTGCAGAGGAAACAGTTGAAGAGGGAATGTTTTGGTGTAAATTATCAGCAGGGAAGATTTCTTCACAGGGTTAATGTAAAGATTTAGGCTGCAGAGGATAAAGATGAAACAATACTGTGATATTTTTCCCACTGACAATGGATGAACCATGACGTATCAATGGCATAAGAACGAGACTTCTCCGGAAGAAGGGATAAATACAGTATTTGTTAATATTTATTTATGCCTTTGTTGGACTTTGTGGCCTGTCATTCTTCAAGAGCTTGAGGCAATTTCCATGCAGATCTTGACGCTGAGCTGGGAGAAAATGGCCTAAAGTCAACCAATTCAGGTTTACTCCAAAGCTTCGTTCTAGTTTTTGAAATTTCTGAACCAGGTAGTCCTTAACTGATGACCACAATTGGGAGTAGAAATTCCATGGCTAAGCAAGGCCGTGTTAAATGACTCACACTTGATTTTGCAACCTTGCCGCTTACAAGCAAATTACTGCATTTGTTAAGTGAATCATACAGTCGTTAAGCAAACCTGGCTCCCTCCCACCCATTGATTTTGCTTGTTGGAAGTTGGCTGGGAAAGTTGTCAATCATGTGACTCTGGAACACTACCAAACATCTGAATTTTGATCACCACGACCATGGGAATGCTATGACGGTCCTAAGTGCAAGGACCAGTCATAAATCAACTTTTTTTCAGTGACATTGTGACTTTGAGCAGTTGCCAAATGAATGGTTGTATTCAACCTGTATTCTTGCCTCATTTTTCTTGCGCCTTAACAAACGCAAAAACAAACGAGCGCTTAAAAATGTATTCAACAATTAATTCTCTTTATGTAGGTATGGATTGATGCTGCCACGCAGATATTTTACTCTCTAGGAGCTGGGTTTGGTGTCTTAATTGCCTTTGCAAGCTACAATGAATTCCACAACAATTGTTACCGGTAAGTTGTGCTGGTTTAATTATGTGCATATCTTTAATCTTTCTATTGGCCTTTTAAAAAAAAAACTATTTTCATGTAAGGAGACATTACCTAGAAAATAAGAGTGTGCCAAAGGGAAACCAGGCTGTCAGAGAACACTGTGGCTGGACACCATCAAAGCTGACACCAGACAGAGCAGTGGTTGCCAACCAGTGGACCGGGGACAACTGGTGTCCATGAGAAAATTTTGGTGGTCCACAGAGAAATGTCACCCCCAAAGGAATTAATCCAGGCTGTGCGGAAACACAAGGCTGTGCCACCCACATGGCCCACGGGAACACGAGGCTTGCGTCACTTGCACTGTGAACAACACGAGGTAGTGAGGGGAGGGGGGGAAGGGTGGAGGGGGGAACTTGCCCCACTCTCCCCACATGCCTGGCCTGGCCACTGGGCTGTTTCTTTCCATTTATTTCTTCTTCTGCTTTTGGCTGCATGCAAGGAAAGCAGCAAAAGTCTTTCTTTCTCTCCACCAGAAATGAGTCTTTGGGACCCTGCAAGGCATCCTGCTCCAAAAGGCTGCACCAGCACGACAAGTCTCACAAAGACTCATTTCTGGCGGAGTTTGGGAGAGAGAAAGAAAGACTTCTGCTGCTTCTGCTGCTTTCCTCGCATGAAGCCAAAAGTCTCTCTCTCTCTCTCCCCCTGAGAACGGAGCTGGAGATGGTATCCTGTGATCACAAATAAAGAATGATCGATCAGTAGGAAAATGGGGTGGGGAATTTTCCTGCAGACTTTTTGGGGGATTTTCCCCAGGGTCTCTGGTCTGGCGGGATTTAAAATTATGGGTTTGGTGATCCCTGAGGTCCAAAAAGGTTGGCGACCCCTGTTCTAGAGCATAGAACAACTCCAAGAAGTCGTGCAAGATCAGAAGATGTGGAGAGAGAGAGCTGGGCAACAAAATCACCAAGCGTCGGACACAACCAAATGGAGTTCAGTTCATCATCATCATCATCATCACTCACCATTTCTGATCTGAAGAAGCCTTGTGGGAGAATCTCTCTCACAATCCCATACCTTGGGATTTCATTGAAATAAAAGAAGACTGTAGGCCACAAAAGGATAGAAAGGTTACTAACCAACAGATGGAAACTAATCAAGGAGACATCCCAGCTAGAAATAAGGAGAAATTTCCTGACAGTGAGAATAATTAACCAGTGGAACGACTTGCCTTCAGAAGTTGTGGGTGCTCCATCACTGGAGGCTTTTAAGAAGAGATTGGACATCCATTTGTCTGAAATAGTGTATAGTTTCCTGCTTGAACAGAGGGTTAGACTAGAAGACCTCCAAGGTCCCTTCCAACTCTGTTATTCTGTTCTCTGATTGATTAGACACATCCCCTTTCCCCTACCCCATAACTATGAGATTTGAAGAACACTGTTCCACCAAAACTTCAAACCCCAAAGATCTGCCCATGGTGAGGGATCATAAGCCATTTCTTTTCCATCACATTAGAAGAAAACATGGGTGGGGGAAAGGCTAGATATTTGTGGTGGGTGGATATGCAAACCCAAATGTCATTCAAACTAAGTGTTTTTTCATCATTGGGTTTATTTGGCGGTGAGATCAGCTCCTGCACCTGTTATGCAGAACTGGATGCATGTTTTTGTTTTTAGCATCCTGATAGTTTCCTTTCGATTACAATTTGGTTGGGCCACTTGAGATGGGCATCATGCAACAGCCGTGACATCTCTAATCACACACGCCTATTCTAATGACAGGCCATCTGCCTTTGGAATCAGATTGCCATTAATTGTAGCCAATCACTAGGATGAAGGCCTTTGAAGAAAAGGAGAGAGAAATGAAACGTTTCCGGCGTAATTGCTTTTATCCCTGTAATTGGAGTAAATTTACCATGCAACGTTTGAAAATGCACACGGAAAATGAAAAAGCAACTTCACCCAAGATCTGTTGAAGGAAGTATGGAATTCTCTTAATAGAATGGAATGGAATGGAATGGAATGGAATGGAATAGAATAGAATAGAATAGAATAGAATAGAATAGAATAGAATAGAATAGAATAGAATAGAATAGAATAGAATTCTTTATTGACCAAGTGTGATTGGACACACAAGGAATTAGTCTTGGTGCAAATGCTCTCAGTGTACATAAAAACAAGATACAAGATATTAAGGCAGTTTTTCCAACTGGGTTAATTTGTTTAGTGATCATCATTCAATGTGCCTTCTGGCGTTTTGCTAGTGTTTCTCTTTCTTTGCCAAATAAGAGTAAATTTGCTCTCTTTTTGAAAAAAAAAAAAAACACACTATTTTTTAACCCTAAAAAAAATTTGCTTCTCAGGCAAGTGCAAAGATTTAGACTTTAGTTGTTTAATCGGCTCAGTTTCAAATTGCTGCTGAGACTAGTTAATGCAAGATACTTTTTTTTAATGGATCAGGCTTTTTGAATATGGATTCAAAAATAATCTGAAATCAAAGCAAATAAAATGAAGTAAAACAATTTTTTGTAAAAAAATGAAAATAATATTTTATCCCAGATTTTAGTTGTTCTTCATTTCACTCACGATTCTTGCTTCTTCTTTAGCCCGGTGTTTGGAATACTGCCTGACAAACTAAACCAGAATTCAAATCCTATTTGTCTACGATGTCATAAATACCAGGTTGGCCTCGAAAATGCTAGGTAAAGGTGGAGGGAAAAAAAGGGAGAAATATATAGCAATTAGATATAAATATAGATATAAATATATAGATTCATCTATTTCAGTTTTGCTTGTGGGTCTACAAAAATGTCATTGTGATGACCCAGGGTGGGATACAAAATAAGCACAGTCATGGAAACAGGTGAAGCCCCTTTAATTCCTTCACTTTGCTTCAAAGCACCAAATATACTTGACTGGAGACAAAAAACTCCCCCACAAGCAGTTAGGAAAAGGAGGAAATGCCTTTTAAACTAAAAATGCCTATAAATTATAAAGAGTAAAAACAACACAAAACACGCTGAAGCAATTAAAGGAACCAGGTAAGATAAGGGCTTGAAGACGTCCACAGATATCGGAAAACACACTGGGAAGGACGCCAAACTCAGAGAGGAATGACAGACTAGAGATATTTCCATGTTTTGTTTCCAGCACTGGCCCATACGCTTGTCTGTCCTTTTAACCAGTTCTCACAGCTGCAGCCCATGAAGAGGATCAAGGCCCTTTCCTCCCCCATAGACCACACCATTCCTGTCTCTCCCTTATCCTCTCCTCCCTGCGTGCCCTAGGATGGAGAGGGGGTGGGCCTGGGTCTTCCTCTGACTGCCCAGCCGGCCTCTGCCCTTCCCCAGCCTCCTCCACAACCTCCGGAGCCACACTTCCACTCCCTGTTGGCTGTTTCTCCTCTCCCTCGGAGTCAGACTCTAACAGGGGCATGACAGTCACTGAACCCAGCCTTTTTCCCCCCTTTAAAAATATTGAAAATGCCTTTTCTTTATTATCCTCTTTTTCTTTCTCAATTTTTCATTCTCCTAGGGATGCACTAATGACTAGTACAATCAACTGTGTCACCAGCTTCATCTCTGGCTTTGCAATTTTTTCTATCTTGGGCTACATGGCTCATATATACAAAGTCAGCATTAAAGAAGTGGCTACAGAAGGTAAGGACCATACAACCCCATCTGTTCCATGAATGGTTTCCCATTAAAAAAACAACAACAACCTGAATTATCCATTGGCTCATCTATTCTCCTCTTTGTGCTAAAAGACGAGTGCCTGGTTAAACAAACTAGACGTGTCCGAAAATGTAGTAGAGATACCTGTCCTCTGAATTAAATTTCTGAGAATCTTGCTTGTGGGTCTTACTCTATAGGGGCGTGCATAAGCGCACCAATTGTGCCTACCGTCCCTGTCCTATTGTTTTTTATTTTTCTTATAAGTATCTATCTCATGTATTCAAAACTATATTTATTCTTATACCTGTATCTTGTAAGCAATTGACAAATCAAATCAAATGTAAATGTAAATGTAAATTTTCTTTCTTTCTTTCTTTCTTTCTTTCTTTCTTTCTTTCTTTCTTTCCTTTCAAAAATAAGCAAAAAATAAAAAAAATCTTCCGAAGGGTGGGACATAGTGACACCTATTGATCAGTCACAAGTATTACAATAACAAAAGCTATTCTGCATCTTCAGTCGGATCAAGGCAAGGAGAATCAAGGGACGGAGTGGAATGGTTACGTGCATTTACGTTGATTAAAGTGTATACACCTTAAGTTTAGAAAATGCATGTTTTAATATCTTAAGTTTATAAAATCAGGAAACCCAAATGTTCTTGTTTCTTAGGAGCTGGGCTGGTTTTCATCCTTTATCCAGAAGCTATTTCGACCCTCAATGGATCGACGTTTTGGGCAATTGTGTTTTTTATTATGCTCCTTAGCCTGGGCATAGACAGTTCTGTAAGTATTCTGTAAGAACCGTGGTGGTGCAGTAGTTAGAATGCAGCATTGCAGGATAGCTGACTGCTGACTGCCAGCAGTTTGATCCTGACCGCCTCAAGGCTGACTCAGCCTTCCACCCTTCTGAGATTGGTAAAACAAGGACCCCGATGGTTGGGGGAAACTGCTTAGAGAGGGCTGTAAAGCACTGTGAAGCGTTATACAAGTCTAGGTGCTATTTACTATTGCTATTCCTTGCTCTTTCCTTTTTCCTTTTGGTAACATTTCAGGTACTGAACTATTTTAATTCTAGAATCATCATTATCATCTTCATTTAATGACCCCATAATCCCTTGCAGGGTGGAGTCTAGGCTAGCGGAGTGTTTTAATTGCCGGATGCTCTTCCCATTGCCAATGCGGAGTTTTGAGTATGCGGCCAGAGAGAGAAATATCTGCATCTACCTAGGATCGAACTCACAGGCTCCTGGTTGTGAAGCGAGAGCTCCACCTCCAGGCCAACACACCACTCAATTTTAATTCTAGAATGATACTGTATATATCTAAAGAGACAGGGGACAGAAAGGCAGCAGAATATAGCTAAGATGGTATGTTTTTTGTGTGTGGATGCACACTTCATATATTAAAAAAAAATTCACTATTCAGGCTGCCATCTTTATTGTTTTAACCAACCCTAAAGATGCCCCTGTAGATACATTTTTCGTACTCTGACTAACCAGCATTAGAACTGTATGACATAGGAGGTGAATGGTTGTTTGTTCCAACCTGCCCATTCTTAGGCTGCCAACTTTTGATGACATGTCCATCTTCCCTTTCTCCCCAACTTAGATGGGTGGCATGGAAGCAGTCATTACAGGTTTGGCAGATGATTTCCAGATCCTGAAGAGAAACAGAAAGCTGTTCACACTTGCTGTCTGTATTGGCACTTTCCTCCTTTCTCTCTTGTGCGTATCCAATGTAAGTATTCTCTCTGGAAAGCATGCCTTTGCCAGTAAAATAAAATGAAATGAAATGTAGATGGGGGTTTGTTAGTAGCAATCGAAGAGGATGTTTGTAGCTCAGGGTTGGTGCTCTTTGATGATAAATATTGTTTTCTTGCAGATGTTTCATTATCTAAGTAAGTAACATCGTGTGTGGTATTCCTCCCTTCCTCCTTGCTTATTCCCTTGTTTTCTTCCTTTCCTCCCTCCTTCCTTCCTCTTCCTTCCTTCCTTCCTTCTTTTTCAAAAGGCAACTGAACTTCCTTTGTTCTTCCTTGAAGATGCTTCTGAAGAACTGAAGAAGCTTCTTGGATGAGAAGCAAAAGGTCTTTAAGGAAACACAAAGGAAGTCCAGTTGCCCTTTGAAAATAAAAGCACCTTTGGGATAACCATGACTGAGAATCTCCATAGATTCTCCATTTGGTTTTAAAAATAAGACCTGGTTGTGCATCAAAGGATAAAAAAAAGATCGATAGGGACGATGTTATATTCCATCTGTCCTTACTGATATTCATTCACATTTTGCTAGTGTTATAATGGGTGTTTATACATTTCAGGAACCGGGCAAAATAATTTCTAACTAGCCCAAGCTTGGAGCATTCCATTCAAATTATGGTTTATTTATTTTACAAGTTGTTTCCTTCTCATAGGGGGGAATCTACATACTGACTCTGCTGGATAATTATGCTGCTGGGACCTCCATCTTGTTTGCTGTTTTGGTGGAAGCCATTGGCGTTTCCTGGTTTTATGGTGAGTGGTGAGAAGAGCAAGTTTAGTTCTTTTATTTGATGACAGCCGGCAGACAGCGAGTCTGTCCCAAAGCTGGGTTTAAACTCTTCCCCGAGTCTTCATGAATACTGCAAAGAAAACTGACCCAAGACTCACTCAGGAGGAAGATGTATCTGCAGCATAGTTGGTGATCCATCCAAGGTCACGTGGATGGACGTATTTGCGGGGTCCTTGGTGCTCTCTGATCATCAGTGCAAGAAGGGAGCAGAGTTGGTGGAGAGGAAGAGGAGGAGAAGGAGGACAACTGTGGAGTCCTTGCTCTCTGAACTGGGTTGTTCTCTTGCAGATGTTTCATTACGCAAAATAGGCAACCTTATCGGTGCTCTTAACCTTAGCACTGATGATGTTATCTAGTTTGGGTAATGAAACCGCTGCAAGAAAACAATCCAGCTCAGAGAGGGCGAAGGACCCATCCTTTCAACCCTGAGGTACAAATATTATCATAACTTCAAATGGTCTAACGAACAGTCATAAGTCTATCTGCCTTCCTGTCTGTAGAAACCATCAGGAGGAGTTCGTCTTCATAGCATGGTCTTCTTGATTTTAGTTCTAGGGAGGAATGACTACTCAATGTCTGAGGATAATCTTTTGCCTTCTGAAAGTCTTCTATATGTCAACAGGCCCTGGACCAAAATGTAGACCCATGAGGCATGGGGAAATTCATCCACATACAGAGGCAGGCTTGACTTTCCCCATGTGTATATAGCCATAACTCAGGCCACCCGAGGCCTTCTGCAAATTGAAATAAGCGCACTAGATTGTAGTGGCCGCATTCATTATCACTGCGTTTTACAAGGTTTACGAATTGCCTCAAGGCAAACCTTGAGAAGGGGAAATGGCTTCTTAATCACTCCTGTTCCTACCAGGTTGCGAAGGACGAAAATCTGTTCCTGGCAAACCTCGGAGACTGGGAGACTGAGTTTTCATGAGACCTTCAATTATGCTGTTCCCATCTTGTTGGATAAATGGCTGTAATTGCAGGGCATCTGAGACTCGGCTAGGAAAGGTAGCTTCAGTTCTCTCCCTCCATCAGGTGCTCGGTTGACAGCTTGTTTGGATCTCCAGATTCTACGCTGAATCTTTCTTCCTCTATTGTCACAGGGAGAACTTCTGAGAAGTTTAAATCCACTGGCTCTGCTCTGACTTGTTTAGCCCTATCCCGGCATAGACATTTAGGAAAGAAAGACCCTTGACTCCATATGGTCAAAGTGATAGGTTCTTTTACTAAAGATAAGTGGTTGCAGTGATTGTGCATAGACTGGGTGAAACCAGGCTCAATAGCAGTAACTATTGGGGGATCTTGGAGTCTTAGTGGATAACCAGTTAAATATGAGTCAACATTGTGCAGTGGCAACCAAAAAAATCCTGTCCCAAGTAGCATTAACAGAGGGATAAGATCAAGGGAAGTATTAATAACACTCTATAAAGCCTTAGTAAGACCACACCTACAGCACTGCATCCAGTTTTGGTCACCACACTATAAAAAAAAGATGTTGAGACTCTAGAAAAAGTGCAGAGAAGAGCAACCAGGATGATTAGGGGACTGGAGGCTAAAACATACGATGAATGGTTAACAGGAACTGGGCATGGCTAGTCTAGGGAAGAGAAGGATCATGGGAGACATGACAGCAGTCTTCCAATATTTGAGAGGCTGCCACAGAGAGGAGGGGGGTCAAGCTATTTTCTAAAGCACCTGAAGGCCAGACAAGGAATAATGGATGGAAACTGAACAAGGAGAGGTTTAACCAGGAAATAAGGAGAAACTTTCTGATAGTGGGAACAATCAACCAATGGAACAGAAGTTACCTTTCGAAGTTGCCTTGGGAGCTTCATCACTTGAGACTTTCAAAAAGACTGCCATTTGTCAGACATGGTGTAGGGTCTTCTGCTTGGGCGGGGGGGTTGGACTAGATGACCTACAAGGTCCCTTCCAGCTCTGATTATCTGTTATCTGTTACCTAAGTAAAGCTAGATCTGAGTATTCCCGTGAAAAGGTGACACTTTTCCCCTTCTCCCTGGCCCTCCCCTCCTCTACCAGTTCATCAGCATTCCTTTTTGATGGACTCCTTTGAGTTTGGTGCCACTCAATGTCGTGTCGCATTCTGTTCCCAGGCCATGTGTCCTTGGTGGCTGGCTCATTCTGATTTGACGCCTCCGGTTCTTGTCCACTTGTCCTTCTCCCTCCATTTGTCTTTCCATTCCCATGCCCGACTTTTACTTCCTCAAATTCCTCCCTTCCTCCCTTAAGTTTTATGGCAGGATGCCAGCCAAGTGAAGAAGCTGAAGATGGCAGGCTGGACATGGCCATTCAGTGCTACCTCAGGTGCAGGAAGCATAGATGGGGTTCATAAGCCTGTAGTTGTTGGGTGGGGGGCAACTTGGCTTGGGATGTTCTAAAAATATCTGAAAATGTTGTTTTTTTAATTTTTCTTCAACCCTTTGTGGTCAATTTTCAGGTGTGGACAGATTCAGCGAAGACATTCAGCGAATGTTGGGTTTTAAGCCAGGCATCTACTGGCGATTGTGTTGGAAATTTGTGAGCCCTGGTTTTTTACTGGTATGGCACTTTATTGTTCCTTAGAAATGTTTCATTGCTTTATTTATCTTCTTCCTTCTATCTGCAACGCTTTCAGTCAGGTTGGGTTTCTCTTCCCATGAATAGGCAGGACAACTAGACGACTTCAAAAATATGCCAAATTGGAGGAACTGAAATCACCCACTAACATTGTTTTAATGCCTGCATTGTATAGCCTCTAATATACAGCTCTTGCAAAGAAAGTCTTTACGATAGACTGCAATTTTGTACAATATTATCATGATTAATGTAGGTTATTTTTCATTAGGAAACTACACTGAAATATTCAGGCAAAGCAATCAAATCTTGGTTTGAAAAAGTAAAATGAAATCCATTCAGATTTTTCTCTCATCCCAAGAGAGAAGCAATGAAGGATATTTAGATAGATGGCACTATGGAAATCCATAGAAATGTAGAATTTAGTAGGGAATCTGAATTCCCAAACATCTCCATTTTAATGCCTATTTATAGCTGATGGTTCTCTAAATCTTGCTAATCCCCAGACATTTGTAGTCTTCAGTTCCAATAGACCATCAGCTTCCATGATCATTTCTGAAAATTCTACAGATTCAAATTTAGATGCTTGGAGCCCAGTAAGATTCCCAACAAGAATATTTTTGATAGCCTTATGAGTTTTAAATGTTACAAACATCCTGATCAGATGATGTTTTCAGTGCATATTGAAAGAGGTTGTGCACAAAACATATGCTGATTTCATCAGTAGATGTGGGATTGTTCCCAGCCAACTATCTCTTTCCATACCGTAGGATGCTGTATCATTATATATTTTTTTAGCAAAAGTGAATTCAGGAATATTCCCAATGAATAGGAGTATTGGAAACAGATGGAATCAGGTTTTCATCCTCAGCTTTGTTTCATGATGCTCCCAGGTCAAAATTAAAGAATTCAGCTAAGGTCCTTTTTATATTAATGTAACCTTAATCCATTGTCTTTCTGGAACAATTCACTGCAAAGTGAAAATTTGGAGTTTTTTAAAAATTCCATTCGAATGGAATTAGAAAAACAACAGAGCATTGCTGGAGCCACAATAAGTTCCTGCTAAAACTGTTTCTTCCACAGTTAACATCTTTAACTTGATGTTTGAGTGATGGGTCAAATAACTAACATTATGGGCAGATCAAAAGGCTTTGGGCCTTTTTGTACAACGTAATTGCACTTGGCACTCAATATTAAATGTGAAGAGCTGGTCTCCTGTCCAGCAGTGTGATTTGTTTTGATTTTAAATAGATGCAAAAGCTTTGATAAAGCAGAGAAGCTGAGTGGGCTTGAAAAATCTCCCAAGAAGTGTGAAAGGATAAAAGCTGCTAAAGACCAAGATTCTAAAATGAAGGGAAGGAACTTGCATTGGAATATCTCACTCACTCACTCGTTTATTTATTTAAGGATGAAAAATATATGCCCTTCTGAAATGTAACTGCTTAGCCATTGCTCTCTCTCTCTCTCTCTCCATCCATCCATCTACCTATCATCTATCTATCTATCTATCTATCTATCTATCTATCTATCTATCTATCTATCTATCTATCTATCTATCTATCTATC